GTTAGGCCGTGTTGCAGGCCTAACAAAATGGCTGGCTGAGGATGTCGGGACAGCAAGGCAATCAAAAGCCTGTCTCTCCCCCCCGCAACCCCAGCACGCTGCGAATGTGTGAGCAGCGTGGCATCAGGTCCATCGGCAGGTCCACAGGGTAGCGGCCCTGTGCTGAGCCTGGACACCCTGGGGCACGCGTCTAGCCAATCGCCAGCTCGTGAAGCTCCTGTCCAGTGGGAACAAGAGATGTCAGGAGCGGACCCGGGTGCTGGGGTCTGACTCAGGCACTGGGAGCTCCTTTTATAACCCTTCGCTCTGGCAGGCAGGCGGGAGGTGGTGAAAAGGCTTCCCAAAGAAATGCCATTCAGAGGGAGATCTCGGGACCAGATGGGCATCGGCCAGGCAGAGGGGACAGCAGAGCTTGGGTGGGAGGCCAAGGCCCAGGCTATCTGCCAAGTCCTGAGTCCTAGGGCTAGCATTTCCCCTTGGCAATGCCTGGTGTTCGTCGGGTGCTGAAGAGGAATTAGGCTAGTTCGGTGGTCGGCACATATCGAGCCACATGCGGCTCTTTGGCCCCTTGAGTGTGGCTCTTCCACACAATACTACGTGTGGGCCCGCACACGTACAGTGCGACTGAAACTTCGTGGCCCATGCGCAGCAGTCGGTTGTCGGCCTGGGTGAATCTATTTTGAAGAAGTGGTTCTAACGCCGAGCCACACTCAAGGGGCCAAAGAGCCACATGTGACTCGCGAGCAGCAGTTTGCTGACCACCGGGCTAGTTGGTTGCGAGGAAAGAGCAGCCCATTTGTCTCGGGGCCGGGGGCTTCACGAGTTTATCTCACCCCTACAACGTACAGGGGAGCCCGGCGCTGCTGTTGACCACTTCTCCTGGGTGGGAACCACAGGAAAGCTGGCCCCAGGCGAGAGCAGGGCCGGGCCAGGCGCCCTGGTCTGGGACTCACAGCTCCGCGTGCTCACCACGTCCGTCACGCACGCTGCCCGCCCCCATGCTCAGGAGAGCAAATCGGTGCACAGCTAGCAGCCACCGCCGGGGTTCGGACTGTCCTTGATCAGGTGCAGTCAGTGTTCTGGGAACAATTGATTCTGCTCAGGAAACACCGGTCCCTCCCCAGCAGGCCGGGGCTGAGTGGTCTAGCCAGACCACTGGGAGGTTGGAAGGAGCAGCATCCTACTCGTGCCCCGTCTTTGCCCCTGAGTGCCGTGGAGCATCACTGAGATTCAAGCGGGCTCACAGGGAATAGCGCTGCCCGTCTAAACCCCGCGCAGGAGGCCCAGGAATGAGCATGGAGGAGGAGGAGGGGCAAGGGGCTGAGGCTAAGCCTGCCGGCTGAAAGGACTGACTTGTGAACACCGGCCTCAAAGTCAAACAGAGGCACGTGGAGGACTCCGAAAGCCGCAGGCACAGAGATGTCCTATTATTGCCCACAAAGTCAGAGGGGTGATTCGGATTCAGAATAGACGTTTCCAGCATTAGCTCCAGGAATCCTGTAAACCACTGGGAGGGAGCCGCATGCCAGTTCCAGGGCCTCCTGGCCACACTAGCCATGCCCGCTGGACCGGAGCCAGGAATCTGCTCTCGCCTCAGTCCTCTCCTCTGTGAGGGAGGAGAATAACAGCCACCTGGGGGCGCCCCTGAGGGGCAGTGAGCTAATTTGCTTAGAGCCCTGGACACGTGCTGAGCGCCCTGCTCTGGCTGCTTGGACTGATGGCCGCCACCACTGGTGCTGTTCCTGTGCCAAGCCAGGTCCGCCCAGCATGACTGGCCCCGGGTCCCACAGCAGCGGCAGGCCCGGTAAGGCTGTGGGCGCAGCGGGGTGCGCCCCACAAGAGGCAGGCAGGACCCCAGCCCTGGGTCAGGCAGAGGAGCCTGCCTCCTGGGGGGGCCCTGGAGGTCACGTGATGAGATTGGAGGGTGCTCTGAAGAAAAAGGGAAGAGGGAGAAGAGCCTGTTGTAACTTAGACTTCTGCCCCGGCAGCCTGGAGGACAGTTGGGGGGAGAATTCTAGTCCGTGTCTGTGTGGAAGGAGATAGGAATGTACAGTCACTTGGTCCAGAGACGGACTGGCTCCGTGCCAGCCGGGCTCTTCCTCCCGCTGAGCACAGCCCGAGAGCGCCCGCCGGGAGCAGTGCGGGAATGCCCCCTAGCCCACCCCCGTGCGAGCCTATGCCCTGCCTGCCAGCCTCTGGGACACTCCACCAAATGGACCAGGATGGGCCCGAGGCTCTACTCATGACCTAATAGATCTTCGCAGATGCTTTTTTTAAGTCACAACCTGCCCGGCATCGCACGCGGAACACTGCCGAGCTCCTTTTCTTGGTGGGGGATGGGTGTGGCCGGCGAGTCCTGAGGTCAAGTTCGCTCAGGCTGAGGTCTAGTCCAGGTCTGACTGGGCAGGGTCGCTCCCAAGTCACTCCCGTGTGGCGGGGGACCGGAGGCCACAGGTCTTCCCTGGCTGCTGGCGGAGGCCCCATGGGGCAGCCCGCAGCTGGCAGCTCCCTCCTCGGGGACAATCCAGGCGTCCAGGGAGCAGACGGCTCTGGGCTTGGTCACGGGGTCTGCAGAGGCATTTCGTCGCCTGTGGCGTCCTCACTGAGGAGCAGGTGGCCCAGCCAGCGTGCGGGGCGTGTGCACCGGGAGCTGTTGGTCCTCTTGGCGCTGCCGCCCATTGACAAAGTCACCTCTGCAACGGGAGGCAGCTTCTGCAGCGGAGGCTCACGTGGCCGACTTACAGGGCTCCTCCTCGTCCACTCGAGGCCTCAGGGTGGGAGGTGCCCTGCTCTAACCCCGAGGCCCGCTGACTCCTCGCTGCCGCCTTCCAGGGCGGTCCAGCCATCGAAGTCCAGAAGACGAGCAGGGCAAAGGGTGCAGGGCCACCCTGCAGGTGCTAGGGGTGTGCGTTTTGTACTCCTTGCCTTTCAGTGGCCAGAACTCAGTCACATGACTCAGGCCAGGGGCCTGGCTCCGCTCCCTGGTGGGCAGCCACCCCCCAGCAGGAGCCGCTGGGTGCTGGCCTGGCCACAGCCACTACCCTTTGCAAAGTGCTGTCCCAGGCGTTAGCTCTGCCTCTCCTCAGCCTGTGCTCCCAGCACTCACCTCGCTTACAGGAGACGGCATCGCTCTACAACAGGTAGGGCGTGTGATGAGAGAGAACAGGCTCACACCTGTTGATGCTGTCACCCCTGTGTGACCACAAACGCTCTCCCTCCTCTCTGTGCCTCAGATTCTCATCCTGTAACTGGGGCGGTAGCAGCTGCTTGGATCGTCAGAAAGACGCATCTAAGTCACTGACGTAAGCCGGCCTCTGTACATGCTGATGACTGTTCGCTGTAAGGAAAATGATCATAATGTTCTGTCTGGAGATAAAGAAGTTGGGGCTCAAAGCAGTTAAATGATTTACCCCGGACTGTACACTCACGCACCGCAGGTCTCTAATGACCTGCCTTTGGGTTGTTGCTTTGCAGAACACATCTGTCCGATTCCCACGTCAAGCAGCGGCCAGTGAGCATTGAGCCAAAGATCCGGTGCCCAGTGTCCTCCCTGGGGCTTCCGTGTGCCCGGGGCCCCGAGAATCCACGTGACATCCCCTTTCCCTCCGGCCCCCTACAGCTCGCCTTTCCCTCCGCAGGGAACGCTGCCGGCTCCTTTCCACGTGCAACCGCGCTGTCCCAGCCAGGGCTCCAGGTTTATAAACAGGCTGTCTGGCCGTGCAGGTGGAAGCACAGGAAGTGACGTCAGATGATATATTTCACTAGACTTAAATGTTTCACATTTCTCCCAGGGCTGCTCACCCTGAAAGGAGAACAGTATTTCCCACGTTAATAGTCAGTCCCAGCAAACCTTGGTGGGGGGGCCGGTGGGTGCTCCCTGTGGGCCGCCCTGTGGGCCTCCCTGTGGTACAGAACGAGGGGAAGGGGAGGCGCGCGTGTTTGAACGCTGTCATGTCCCACAGCCGTGGTTCGTGGCCGCTGGTGGCAGATTGTCTGAACTGCAGGTCTCAGATTCGGCCAGGGCTCACACCTTCTGAGACATTAGGACCCGGCCTCAGTGCAGCCACCAACCACGCTACGCCTACCGGACTGTCACTGTGATTGCGGCTCTTACCAGTGAAGTCTCTCTGTCTCTCGGAAGTCCTCTGCTTCCTTCTTTTCCAGCTGGACCTCTCTTGATACAGATCCCCTCCATGGCCTCTCCTGCCTGGACGCTGACTAGACCTGTGTCACCACCCCCTGGAGCACAGGGTTAGCGTCAATAGTCATGCGCCCTCCGTGTGGCTGCTGGTGTCCCTGCTGCCCGCACCTGGGGTTTCCTTCTCTTGCTCGTTTTAAAAAATTAATTAATTAATTAATTAATTTAAAAAATATATATATATATATATATATATATATATATATATATATTATTGATTTTTTACAGAGAGGAAGGAAGAGGGAGAGAGAGTTAGAAACATCAATGAGGGAAACATCGATCAGCTGCCTCCTACTGGGGATGTGCCCACAACCAAGATACATGCCCTTGACCGGAATCGAACCTGGGACCCTTCAGTCCACAGGCCAATGCTCTATCCACTGAGCCAAACCGATTAGGGCACCTGCTCATTTTTGACGCAAAGCTTTTTCTTTAGATCCCATATTCAGACTGTTCAGTCAAGGGATAAATCCATTGCAGAAGATTTTCCTTTTCCAACCTTGTTGACCAAGTGGTTGTTAATCTTCCTTTTTTCTCAATCTTATAAGTACCTCGTTATTTTCCATTTCTAAATGCCAGAGAAAATATAGGCAGTATCTTTTAATGCCGGACATTTAGATGAAAAGAGGGGAAAAATAAATTTGTCATTGGATTTATTAAGCAGCCATATCTGCATCGTAAAAAGCTGAAGCGGAGGCGTGATTGGATTGCGTTGGTGGGACGGGTGTCCGGTGTGTTAGGTTTGCCTCTTGGGGAACCACCTCCCGTTCCGTGTCAGTGACTGTGCCCCCTCCTCTCCCAGGAACCAACGTCCACGAGGCCCAGCGCATCCTCAGCAGCAGCGGGCTCCCCATCACCTCGGCCGTGGACCTGGAGGACGCAGCCAAGAAGGCCGTGGCCAGCGTGGCCAAGAAGTGAGCCTGGGCCCTGATCCCTGGAGGAAGAAGTCCATTTGCCATAAAACGGGCTGGTTCTCTTCTCACTGAAGGAAATGGTTATCTCTTTGGGGAAAACTCAGGAAGGGGAGAAGCAAAACCATTGTGTAAAACAATCTTAATTCCGCATCTTCTTGAATCAGATATCTAAACAGACTAATCTGATTTCACTTACGTCCTTTACAGTACATTAATGCCCTGTCTTCTCACACTTTTCTGCCACCGTGAGCCTGCTCAGTAGACCTTGTGTGGGCGACGCTGGGGAACGTCTGTGTGGCCGGACAGGCAGTTCTGTGACATTTAATCCTGAACAATAAAAAATCACAGGCCGTGCACGCTCAGGCAAGACTACCTTAACAAATTAACTCTCTAAAAGGTGCAGCCAAGACAGACCAATAGCTGTTTCACTGCCACAGCTTTCCACATTCCTACTTCCAGCACCTGCGGGGAAAACCCATGAATATTCCAAAGTATATTTTACAATGGAAGGTCCACACTTCACGTGATATTCCATATATTCTTACCTTTGCCTTAATACTGAGTATAAGTATCCTTACCTCACTCACAATAAAACCAGAAGCCTTACTTGTAATTTTTTAGTAGATTTTATTTAATGTGAAAACTGAGGAGAGCCGATTCTTATGTGAATTTCTGTAATTAAGACATTTCAAGATGAGACATCATTGTAATTTTATCGTGAGGGTCAGTATCTTCTCCCCCTGCCCTTCTTGACCCCCCAGAATCTACTAACTGGGGGCACATAATGATGAGAATATGGCTTTTCTGTAGTGCCTATTGGGAGAGGGGAGCTAATTGGGTTTATGATTATATTTTGGTAAATCTTTATTTGTACACAAATTTAAATAAAATCCTGTACTGTAAACTCTAAGATCTGTGTATTTCTCATTTTTATCAATATTATTCCTTAAACACTTTTCTCCAAAAATTAGGGAATTTGGGTTATATATTATATGGTCCCAGGATTAGTCCAGTTTCACTCAACTTCAGCAGCAACCATTTCTTGTTAGGAGACTATTCAATGAAAGAATAAGAGTTACATACAAACCAGAAGTGTCACAGATGTTTAACAGGTTAAAATGTGACTTCATTCTGCAAACAGCTACAGAAATCGGTGACAAAGCTCCCTGGTCTAATGAGGCTCGGTTGCCACTGGCAACAATTTTCGCATCACGTGTAGCAGACGTTTTTGTTTGTTGCTTCCCAGTTCTCATTCATTCCGCATGGCCACAAGTTGACAAGTCATGTTATAGCTCCATGTTTGCCATTGTTTTATTATTATTATTTTGTAATAAATGAAAAATAGCAATAATGCCTTTTTGGTATGTTTTGAATTTTGATAGTTTAAAAACTAGTTAGCATGGTAAAAGAAATAATATATTTTGTCAATTAGGCAAAAATCATCATATTCCAGGGTTTTGTGAAGACTGTGTTCACAACACATGTATCTTGCTGCTCCTAATCAATCCAGTGTCCCGGGGGCTGTCAGGGAATGGACTGATGTGATCACTTGTAAGAAGGTTAATCACAAGCAAATCAAGCAAATCGCCACATGGGTGGTGATCAGGATTAGGTTCTATTTCTTCTTTTTTGGGAGCTCCAAGTGTCTGAGTTTATTTGCTCAAATCTGTCCCTGGTGCTGAGCACAATGTGGATTCTGTAACTGTTTGTGGGGTGGGTGCTGGGGGGTGTGGGCCGGCTCCACTGGCTGGATGGGAGTGGAGTCAGGGACAGTGCTGGTGGTGGCGGACCCGAAGGCCTCTGCATCACCCACTACAGTGCCCCGTGCTACTCACCTTCCCGCGTCCCCTCCAAGTCTCCTCCTGACCGTACTACATGCAAATGTGCAAAATATTTCCTTTCAGATATTTTCTTAAAGTTGGTTGTGTCCTCACAGGAATCCCCATGAACCCGGATGACCATCTTCACTTGCTGAAACTTACAGGGTAGCATCTGTTTTGCCTGAACTGCTCTGCATGTAAAATCAGACCAGATTTGCTAGTCTCCCATGTCAGTCTCCTAGAACGAGTATCACATTCGGAGGACGTGAAAGGTTCTCTTGTTTGAGTCAACCTATTCTCCAGGTACTTTTTGTAATGACCAAAACCCAAGCCAGCGTATGAAGAGCGGGAACTGCTTTGCTCCTGTGGGCATGGACATGGGGCTCTGGTTGTAGTTAAGGCTGCGTCCAGAGGCTCACGCCATCAGAACTTGGACCCTGCGTCCCAGGCCAGCCTGTCTCTGCGGCTGCATTCCCAGGCAGGCCATTTCCCCAGGTGGCAGAATGCCCGCCATCCTACATACATTTTGTCAAGCTCAGCATCCCCTAAACGAGAAGGACAGGGTGCTGGGAGAGAACAAAAAAAAAAGAATTAAAGAAAAAGCGAGAGTTGGAAGAAGAAAGAGAGAGGAAGCTTCTCTCCTGGTGATTCTAAGAAACCCCAGAATGGAGATGGCCGATGTGGTCAGGACCCTGCCTCTCAGCCGGTCCTGCTGGTGAGTTACAGGCTCTGGTGAGTCCCTCTGGTTCAGTGTTGCCCCGAGACACAGCTAGCCCATCCAGCTCTCAGTGCTGAGCACAGGGCCAAGGGGGTCTGCCAGGAGGACTGGAGAGCTAATAGAAGAAACAATGTATTCTGGGAGAGAAAATCAGAGAACAGCCACACTCAAATGGGGGAAACATGATTCCATAGGACATGTCCAGCTTGTCCGACTCTGAAGTGTCGTGATTCCGTCCTATTTCCTCGCCAGTTCTCTGGGCCCACTTTCCCGGGGCGTGCCGGCCCGGTGTGGTGTGTGCATGCTGCCCGAGCCATCCGGACACCTTCCTTTACCTGCCTTGGGCAGTGATGTCCACATAAGAATAATGATACCGAAGCACATGGCTCCATGTGGCTTTTCTACTTAAGTTGTAACTCAATTCATGAATTAGTAAAGCAGTCAAGACATTTTAAATAGCTTGGCTAGACCCACGGATCGTTTTTAATTAGTTCTTTGACGGTTTGTATGCTATGTGCATTCCTCTCCATTTGCTATCTGAGTGGGGGGGAAAGTTATCCTGAAGAAAAATAGTGTTTATTAAGACCTTAATAAAAATTAGAAGAAAATTATATTTTGATGTTTGTAAATCAAACATTTAAAGTCAGTGGTCATTTGCAGGGTGTGATATATGTTCAAAAATTAAATGAAAAAAAATGTAATCATTGTGAGAAACCAGCAAGACGGGGGGAGCCCTGGCTGGTATTACTAGATGGTTAGAGCATCAGCCCGCACACCAAAGGGTTGCAAGTAAGATTCCCAGTCCAGGGCATGTACCTAGGTTGCAGGTTTGTTCCCTGGCCTGGTTGGGGCGGGTGCAGAAGACAATTAATGTGTCTCATGTCACTGTGTCCCTTCTCCTCCTCCTTCTCCTCCTCCTTTTCCTCTTCCTCTTCCTTTTCCTTCTCCTTTCTTCTCCTCCTCCTCCTCCTCCTCCTCCTCCTCCTCCTCCTCCTCCTCCTTCTTTTCTTCTTCTCTTCCTCCTCCTCCTCCTCCTCCTCCCCTCCTCCTCCTCCTCTCCTCCTCCTCCTCCTCCTCCTCCTCCTCCTCCTCCTCCTCCTCCTCCTCTTCCTCCTCTTCTTCTTCTTCTTCTTCTTCTTCTTCTTCTTCTTCTTCTTCTTCTTCTTTTCTCTCTCTCTCTCTCTCTCTCTCTCTCTCTCTCTATATATATATATATATATATATATATATATATATAAAATCTCCCTTCCTTCCTCCTTCCTCCCCCTCCCTCTCTTTCCCCCTTTCTCCCTCCCACCCTTCCACTCTATCTAAAAATCAATGAAAAAAATCCTGAGGTGAGGATAAACAAAAAATAAATTTAAAAAAAGAGTGAGGAAGGCTATGTTGTTCTGTACCCAAGACCTGGAGTTGGCACACGGAGGGCAATTTTTAGGAACTTTTTTACTGGCACCAGCCACACCCACTTAGGTACCTGTGTCTGTGGCTGCTCACCTTCCTCAGCGGAGGACATAGCTGTGACAGAGGCCTGGGCTCTAAAAGAGTTACTGTTTGGTTCTTTACAGAAGAGGTTTGCCAAACCCTCCCTAAGACCAATTTAATAAAATACAATACTCCCTCTCAAATGACAGCAACAAATTGTTCCAAACCTGCAAAACAGATTTAAGCATTCAAGTGAAAGAAATGAATGAGTAGGAAGTAAGATCATTGATCTTTTTATGATAAACCCTGTAGGGACATTCTATACTACAATAGGCCACTTGCCAATGAGAATCCATTCCATATGCTGATGTGTATCTTGCCACCATCACAGACCTGCCTGCCCATAGTGGTGTGCTTCTGGGGCCATGCTTGTCCTATCAGTTGTATGTGCATTGGAATAACACCAAGTCATGGCTGTGAACACGGAGCTCCCACAGCCCTGGCCTCTCCAGTCTCCTCACAGTGGTCTTGACTAGAGACTGCGCTGTGCACAGTTTCATCTGGGGTCCTGGGAAGGCGATAAGAAAGCAAAGATGTACCACAGGTTTCTAATCCACTCATCTGCTGATGGGCACTTAAGCTGTTTCCAAATCTTAGCTATTGTAAATTGTGCTGCTATGAACACAGGGGTGCATATATCCTTTCTGATTGGTGTTCCTGGTTTCTCATTTCTTGGGATATATTCCTAGAAGTGGGATCACTGGGTCAAATGGGAGTTCCATTTTTAGTTTTTTGAGGAAACTCCATACTGTCCTCCACAGTGGTTGCACCAGTCTGCATTCCCACCAGCAGTGCACGAGGGTTCCTTTTTCTCCGCATCCTTACCTACACTTGTCTTTGGTTGATTTGGATCTGTGAGAGCATTATGTTAAGTGAAATAAGCCAGGCAATGAAAGAAAAATACCACATGATCTCACTCATTCATGGAAAATAAAGAGCATTATAACCTGATGAACAAAAAGATAGATACAGAGGCAGTGAAGCATCGAACAGACTGTCAGTTGATCTGTAGAGTGTTGGGGAGGGGGGAAAGAGATCAACTGAAAGACGTGTATGCATGCACATAAGCACAACCAATGGACACAAGACACTAGGGGGGTGGAATGAGCATGGG